TGTTAACACCCCTAATCAGGACTGCCTATTACAGATGGAAGAACTACAGTAAACCACCAGCTTTATTTTCATGCTGTGATTGTTTTGTTGTGAAATTTAGATGAGCCTAACAGCATATTATGAGATCTTAGTTACTCACAGATCATCACATTGAAGAACAGTGTCATCCTCACTGCTTACACACATTCCTGCAAGTAGAATTGTTTATGCACATTACAGCTTCCCAGAATGGATGCTGAGTGGTTACTGGAGAAACAAAAATAGCCTTTCAAATTGTTTGCTTAGAAAAACACTGCTAGCAGCACTGATTCTATTGCTTTATTCAACTTTTGTCTACTGGTTAGATGCTAAATATGCAACAGTGATATTTTGGTAAGTGTGAAGGAAAAGACAAAGACACCTGTTGTCAAGTAGCGACATTTCAACATATTAACCACTAACAGGGTGATATGGACAAACTCTGTATAGCCAAAATATCCATGTAGATACACTATCCATTCATTTTCTTCCACTTATTGAATTCAGGGTCACAGAGAGATTAGAGTCTATCTTGGCTGTCATAGGGGAAGAGGTGGGGTACACTTTGGACAGGTCGCCAGTCTATTGTAGGACTAACACAGAGAGACAGACAGCCATTCACACCTACATCCAGTCTAGAAGCACTAATTAACCTAACATGCGTATCTTTGGACTGTGGGAGGAAGCTCAAACACGCAGGCAGAGAAGGCCACAGCTGGGTGGTGGATTCGAACCCTCCAGCACACGTCTACTTCCCTTTGGGAGGTGAAATCCATTTATTTTCCAGTTTAATGCTTAATTAGCTGTGGAGGGAACATGTGCACAAGTGCAGCTTCATCATTTATATGTCAGTACATGTCACCATATCATAATCCTTACCATATGCATCGCAGTATTAGAAATCATTCTGATAGTGATAGATCTATAAACTCTGCTTGGAGAGCCAAGTACATGTGAAAAACATTTGTCACTCAAGATGAGGAAATATGAAAACGGAATGAATTCGACCCACAAAAATACAAGAGGGATGTATAAAAAGTTTGATCCGTAATATTTGCAGTACAGAAATCACTTCAAACATAAGAAGACTTTGTAATTCAAACCAACTGCATATAAAGTCTCAAGCCAAACCCACTCAGTGATTGTGCTTTATCTTTTTAATCAGTGCTTTTGCAGGGAGATGAGAGCATAAGATCCTGTAGGCCTACCGGTTCAAGTGAATGAGTGGCTTGTGATTAAGAGAAGTAAATAAAGTAGCATAAGCATACTGAGGAGAAAGAACACAATAGAAACATATTCACATCTTATTATTCCTGGGTGACGGCAGTGCCACCCAGGCATTAGCACAGTTAATTACAGCACAGATGTTTCAAAGGGGGCCCTGATGGCTTACTTCGTATTTATGTTTTCTGGCATGGCTGCTGGACGCGTTTCTCCCAGAGAACAGTTCTTTCCACCATCAACTGGACTTGTTTTGTTTGTGTGGACCCTGTGGTGTTAGAGTCCTGACTCCTAATACACTCTGGCTTCGTTATTAGGATTTTGTTACAGGGAGGATGGAGAGAGGGGGCAAAGGGGGGGAAATGAATAGGGTAGCTAACGTGTCTGACCCCAGCACGTTATCAAGTCTGGTGGTCCTCCCTTCTTTTCTCTTCCCTACTGCAGGGACATCTGGACTCTAAAGCCCATTCAGACAGAGGTTTGTTTTAGAGTGTGGTGGTTTTTGTGGCCCGGTATAGCATCTCACGCTGTGTTTTAATCAACTCTGTGTTTGGGAACATAGAGTGGGAAAAAGAGGAACCGTTAGGGGAGCGGTAAAGGCTTACAAGGAAACATCAACCATAAAATCCCTCAGCAGTGTTTGTGTAAACACGTCCTGGCCAAATGACTTCATTTTTAGGTATTTGTTTGTCAGTTGGAGTACCCCTCCAATAATAAATAGGCCACCATGCATTTTGAAACATGCCGAATGGGTGTGGTGTGACTGAGGTTGTACGCGAGAGAAAGCAAGAATGTAGAAAGGCGCGGCTTGTTTTTGGTGTTGCAGTGGGATAGAAATATGCATTAATATTTATCATTAATATCCTTACTGACCGTATCTCAGTGTGGTGACTGTAAGATGTGGTTGTGGTTTAACGATCAATGAGAGGACCTTAGAGTTTAGAAGATAAGAATAGGTATCTGTGGAAGCATGTTTAATGTTTCACCTTTCCACAGCAAAGTGATTAAATGTAATTTCCACCCTTTGTTGCTTGTCTTAACATACATCAGTAACCCTGGTTCTGCACTCCTGAGTGTGCCTCGAACATACTGCAGGTATTCAGGGCCTGGGTTTTGCTTCTTTTCTGTCCCACTGAGTCTGCATTTAATAACAATTATTTGTACAGTGAAAGCATTATATTTGTGCCAGGAACAAACCTGTTTTATGTCCTTTTACCTGTTCTGAGGGTCATACAGTAAAGTTACGTGTTTATCACATCATAATTCAGAATCCCCACGTTGCACCCCCACCTTGCTCCTACGGTCAGTCCTTGGCAGGAGCTTAATTAACATATAGAGCCAGATCTCCTGCTGCTTTCTGGTACAAAATGCAATTTGCCATTCTTCATGTTGCAGCTCGTCACAGGGAAAGCAGTATTGAGAAGGACTTTTCACACGTTCGGGTTTTGTCAGCTGCAAGCTAGACTGATTGAATTACAGTGAGCAGAGCCCTTAAAAAGACACAGTGAACTTCAAATAGGGCCCTGGGACCTCCTTTATGAACTGCATTAGACATGGAAGTCACAAATCACTAGATGTGCTGAGGAAGGAGACCACGGGTGCTCCTTCGTGGATATATTTATCTGTATGTGTGCTTTTCTGTGTGTTGTGTGCATAGATGTAAACCATGTGGGTGGTGGGTACACACGCACATGCGAGCTTGTGTGCGTGTGTGGTACGCCAGCTCCCAGCACGCTACAGGAAAAAAAAAGTCTTTTCTTTATTTTCCTATCCCTCCTAAATCTTCCTACATCTCCGCTGTGGTCCTCCCCTTGACAAAGCTGCTTGCTAGTCCCACTGAATAGCCCTGGCTCCTACAATACACAGTAAATTTCTTACACAATTAAAACAAGGAAAGAAGCTACAAAAGGAGCCCCCAAACAATGGAGTTGGATGACAAAACAGCAAAAGAGACCACACTGGGCCGTTTGATTAGGCCATTGTTAGAGTGCACAGTGTACACCACTCCATAGCCCTTTTCTCACATACACCTCGTGTCAATCAAACAGACCCTGCGAGCTAACAAGCTAAACACAGATACACACTGATAACAAGTTTGAGGCAGAGCATTCGCACTCCTTCGACATGGAAGATTTGAAGGATGGTCACTGTTAATGTTTAACTGACGTAAGGGAAGAAGAGAGGACACAAAGAAAGAACCTGATCCTGCATTCATCTGCCCTGTTCTGTATGTTATCTTTGCAGCTGTGCTTGCGTGCTTTGTCACTTTTTGCTCTGTTTTATGTTCAGTTATGCCATGATCAGTGTCTCATACCACTCTCTGACTTTAGTTGTTCTCTTTCTGTCTCTCCACTTGTAACTCTTGTGGAAGCACTATCGCCTTCTCCCACTCCCTTACTCTCACACATACGCCACCCCTCCCAAAGTTGATAAATTCCCACAGTGGCTGTTGACCCAGCTGCCTTTGTCAAGTGGTACTACCAGCAGGTGCTGTTTTCACAGCCACCCTGGCAGTCGTACAGGCTGTTTAGTAGCGCTGCTGACCCCTGCCTGCTATTAACAGTGTTAGCTACAGACCAGCCCCCCCCAATTCTCTAGGGACTCTTACTCTTTCTCCCTCTCCTTCTCTTTCTGTTTTCTCCCCTCTTTTGCTCTTTTTTTTTTTTTTAACTACATGCAGCCTGCAGCAACAAAAGCCAGCAGAGATGGAGTATGGAGTTGGGTGCTGATGGGAGCATGGGAATCAACCCCCACTGACACTCCATCCTCAAAATGTAAAGCAACTTTAACACATACACACAGGCAGTGTGTCTGTCAGAACACCTGCAGCACACTTTTCAAATCAGGAAATCAGCATTTAAGATTTTCTTTATTTAACATATATTTGTGAAATTCTTCAAATATATAATTAGTATGCACAAAATCAAGTGTATTTATCCCCCAGTTGTTAGTATTTTTTGTAATAAAACTACATCTTTCATTTAAATCTGAACAGCAAGTAAAATGAAAATAATTTATACCGAAGTACCGACTGCTGGAACAGGTGATCAGCACCTCACCAAAGCAGAATAGAATGAGTATCTAGTGGTGCTTCCACAACAAACACAAAGTAAACACTTTGAGCAGCTTCATTACTCACAGAACCTGCTCAGTGGGGCTACTACATGCAAATCCAGGTTGGCATTTACAACGCATTACCAAAACCTGTCAGAGCAACTCTTATGACACCTCCGACACTCAGAAATGGAGGAAAAGCTTATTGATGCCATTTGCGGGCAGCCTTCGCTCTTAGAGACAGGTAAAACAGGAAAGAACACAATCGTAAGACTCTGATAAGTTCTGAGATGTTATTGTAACGTAAAACGTGACTACCATAGGAACAGCTACCCAGATGGAAGTAATATGTATTCTAAAAATAGCTGATTTGAGCTTTAATATACAAATTGCTGGTTGTATGTCTTCAATCTAGTTTTGGCTTCTCCTGCTGATTGACCATTTGCTCCCCTGCCATGATTGATGAGGCCCATCCTATCGTGGAGTGAGAATTACATACATACACATTCAGTGACCTCACTGCTCACGCCTCTCATACCAGCACCGGTCCACAAGAGTCCAGTTACCCTGCCTGTGTGTCAGACATATGCGCACACGCCGTAATGTCCAACAATGTTTTGTAGCAGAATGTTTACACATCTATTTTTCTTCCTCTCTCTCCTTTTCACAAATGTACACACTAGCAAATGTGTGTGTGTGTGTGTGTGTGTGTGTGTGTGTGTGTGTGTGTGTGTGTGTGTGTGTGTGTGGGGGCACCAACAGACGCTTCACATTCGAACTTGATTACGCACTCACTGTATTATTTCCAGATTTGTGGAGCGTGATATGAAATAATTGTGTTTCAGCCCATTTGCTGATGTGCGTGTCTGGATGTTTGTCTTAATATGGAATAATATGCTTCTCTGGTGTTCAAACTTGACACATATGGTGCGGAGATGTTTCTGTTTGTGTCTGTGTGCATTTTCCAAACCGTGTTCATATCTGTGGGAGCCATGCTTTAACCCCGTATGTCGTTTCGTTCTTCGAATAAGAATTCAAAATAAAAACAACTACACGCTTAAATATTAACTTGCTATTAATTGGTAATACGTAGAAAAAGAGCCACCGTCACTTTAACAGCATGTCACTGGAAAAAGAAACACACGCCTCCTTCAGGAGCAAATACATAAATTTTTAACTTGGCAAGTTAAAAGTTTACATCTTAAAGTCCCTCACTTCAAAAGTGCTTTCCCACTTAAGTTACATATCAACAAAACCTGATAGGCTCGAAAATCTGAGATCACGGACGCAGCGTGCGATGGCAGATTTGTCTTGTTGTACCATTCAAAAATAGCTTTGCGGTAAATAAATAGCTACCACAATACATCACAGTCAAGTGTTAGATGCTTAAATAGAACACATTTCCTACAGTCCCATCCTAAATCATGGTATAGTGTTACTGTGTAGCTCAGCCAGTGTGAGTTGGATGAGTGTTTTGTTTTTGTTTAGTCTCAGCTTTTTGTTTAACAGGACTTTTTTTTTTAAAGGTTGCGTGAAACTTTGTAGAAACTGTTGTGATCTGGCAACTAAATGTGTTTGTGGGCGAGGCTCAAACCTCTAAACAGACTTGTGTAAGCACAATTAAACGACCCGTGGACGCTGAATGACTGATTTCTGTTTTGGACACAACAGCAGTTCATTCATTTGAGGCAGATGCTGATTAATAGGTAGAATTTAAACAACATATAGCACATCTCTTGACATGCAGTCATCCAAACAGTGAATTATACCAAAGCTACATGCCTTTTAAACCACATTTTCCCTTCATAAATCAACACAATTCTGATTCTGTGTTATTATTATTATTAAGAGTTGAAATATGTTCTCCGGTTATTAACTTGAAATGTCTTGTATTATTTATTTGGTTATAATAAATTGTCGCTGTGTCGCTGTGGCTTAATCACCATATTGAGAGGCTTCTGTCTGCTGAATACTTACTTTGTCTTCTTCTGTTTTTTTAACAATTGCTGCAGGCCTTACACCCCTAAGGAGTGCCAGCATCAGGTGGAGCCACCGGAGCTGCTGATGACAGCTTGTTCCAGACACTGTAAGAACGGCCGCTGTACTCCCACCGGCAAATGCTGCTGCAACCCCAGCTGGGAAGGACAATTCTGCCGAGTCGGTAAGAGTGCATCTGTCGCCCTCAGCGTATAACATGGACCAACATCGACGTGTTCTTTCACTTCAGATGTGGAAAAGATGTTCAGTAATATCTGCCATAATTTCCCTAATCAGAAATCAGAGTACGTCTGAATAAAACAAAGTTTAAAGTGTTTTCACTCTCTCATACCCTGTGACTGTAGCCAAATGTGAACCAGCCTGCCGCAATGGAGGAGTCTGCGTGGAGCCCAACAAGTGCCTGTGTAAGAGTGGCTACTCCGGCAACCAGTGTGAGAAGAGCGAGCGGGGTATGCCCAACGACCAGGAGAACGGCGGGATAGTGGACCACATCATCGACATGACCTCGTACCTCTTAGACCTGACCAAGTACGTCGTATAGTGGTGTGCGGAGGGGGCCGCTCCCCATCATCCATCCTCAAGTCTACACACATCTACCTTTCGCCCTCAAAAGACTCTTAAAGAGGTTTGCTAAATGTGGCCCCTTAATTTCCCCTCACATTCTCACGGGCAAGCGCGCACACACACACACACACACACACACACA